AGCGATACCGTCCTACATGAAGTCAGGCAAGAGATGAACACCTTCAGACAGGCTTTTTTTTAACCAACACCACCATGAAACCTGAATGAGTCGTCCAACCCCCTGTTGTCTAAGGAACTTCAGCCCTGAAAGGAGAACTCTGTTGGTTCTCTGTTACCTGAGTGACAAGGATTCTTGTCACACAGGACTCTGCAAATAATAAAGGGGCTCCATTTCGTCCGTTGCTTTCCACCATAGGAACTGCTGCCTTCATTTCTGCAGGTCTTCACTTTTTCTGGCGCTTCTGAGGGTACCTTTCTACTTCCTACTCACACGTGAAGACTGAACTGGGATTCCAGAGATTGTGATTCTCTCCACTTCCCTTTGCCACCAGTGGATGCAGTGGGATGTCTTTAGTCCTTATACCAGCACCATTTACATTCCCTGTCTATAAACCAGCATCAGTCTGTTGGACCTACCAAGGGCTCTTCTCCTTCCAAACCAGGGCATCCACTGCATTTACCGTTTCATGTTGACTTATCAACTCAAACATTGCATTAAGTCGCCACTTGAAGTGAATCAGGTGCTCTTCAGGGATTCTGTCCAAATGTTTCTCATCATTTTCCTACAAGAGCTCACTATGAGGCTTCTCTAAAGTGCTGCTGGCTTCTTCACATGACCTAACCAAAGACTGAACTGAATGATGTTTCTGCTTGATCTCTGTCACGTCACATAACTTAGAATTGTAGTTTTATAGATTGATATTTGCAAGGTTTGCTTGTTGAAAAGCGTAAATATATGAGAATGGTGCATTTTGTTGATTGTTGTTACATTTTCACAATGACCCACCTACGTTCAGATACATTTAGCACCTTATATGATGTTTAATCCAACTCCAGTACAGTCAGGCCTACAGCTCAGTAGTTTGTGTGTTTGGATTGGGTGTTTTATTTGGACTGGAAAAGTATACTTGTGGTCACATGAGTTTGACAGGGAAGTGAAGGCGCTATCTCAAAACCAGGTCACCATTACCCCACTAATGTCTACATTTGACTATTTCAATGCCAAGAACATGTTGCACACTCAGACTTTTAATGTCATAAGGGTGGGAAATCTGAAGATCATCATTAGAGTTGTTTCAATACAGTTACTAGAAAAATAAATTCCCTTGACACTGCCTAAAATATCTGGTATCAGCAAGTATTCATGTCTGTGCACTGATCAGATACCACTTACTTTATCTGCCCCAAAACAGGACCTTCTACTCCCAGCAGTGCCCCATTTGCATTTTTAATTCATGAACCGCCCTACTGGGTTTAACCTGGGTCAATCCATGCAACAATGATTGCGGTCATACAGGTTTAGTAGTATACGCTTGTTAAAAAATAAGATACTATGTATCTAATTTTTTGTATCAGAAGACTACTTGGTATCAGCAGGAAAAAAAAATGTATCAGAACAGCTCTAATGAGCATGAAACAGTACATCTTCCCATTGAAACTCCATCTAATGCAATTGAAATGTTTTAAGTCCCACCCCTTTTTGGTCTGTGCTTCAATAACAGGTCAGCAAATCTCAGTCTGAACTTTCTCCTTTCCTGGACTTAGATATGCTATGTGCTAGAGACATCTATGTTGAAAAGACCAGATTTTGGAGATGGTTGAAAGATAAAAGCGACACTTACCGGTATATAGTCGCATCTTAAGTTACTTAATGTCAGCAAAACTCTAGCTAACTAACGATTGATGTAAATTAACTCGTTTTTTTCTTACATAGCTAGCTAGTTAGCTAGCATTTTGGTAACAGTTAGCTTTCAGACTAGCTAACAATTGATGTAGATTAGCTAGCTAGTTGGCTAGTTGTGACTATATAGCTTTTATCTTTTAACCATCTTCAAAATGTGCTTGTCTTTTCAACATAGATTAGCCTGGCACATAGCATATCTGGAAAAGAAAAAGTTGACTTTCTCAACTGTCATTGGATCACAGAGTAAAAAGAGGCGGGACTTAGGAAGGGTCAATTCTTGTAGACTGATCAGCCTATTAAATAGTCTACAGAATAGATGTATTAGTGCAGTGCAAACATGTACTGCTGAAACGCAACTGCAACCTGCTAGTCAGCTCATTAAACTCATTGGCTCTCAGAATCTCACTGTTTAGCTTGTTGTATTATTGTAATGCAGCAGAAAAACCTTGAGTAGAACATGGTTCATCTGAATTACCCAGAGTAACGGGGACACTGTCTCTGGAAAGATGCGTTGCAGTTGAGTTGTTTCAGATTTCAGTGTGAGTGTTGAGGAGGCTCACACATGTATAGCCTTGTGGGAATAAAAGATGTTCTGCTCACATGTTCTGCACATGTAGATAAAACTGTGCTGTAAATGGTGTGGGAATTTACCGCTGTCACTGCTCTGCCTTCAGGCCTTTGTTCCAGTTCTGTTACAGTTTCTTGTTTAAATTGCCACCTCTGCTTCGGGTATTGTATTCACAAGACATTGGATTGGTTTGGTTGATGAACTTTATGACAAGTTATTTTTTTAAAGTATATTTGATGTGTAATAGTGTGGTGGTTGATTTCTGAGGTCAGGATGTTTGAAGTTGATATCAGCTGGAGGGAAACGTATAGCATTGCTTTTGTCAGGTTGTCAGGTGTGTGTCTGTGTATGTTACTGTATTTTTTTTTTTTTTTTTTTGTGGTTTTTGGTTTGGTATGTTCTGTTTTGTTTCAAGAGACACTTAACATCTTACAGAATAATTCCACAATGCAGCAGAGCTTGTCCTCTGAACAAGTTCCAGTGTGGAGTTACTTTTATAAATTTAAAAGCACAGGGCTAAACATCCTTCAGTGAACATAATATCCAAAATGCTGTCATTTCTAATGAATGTAAATGTTTTATGGAGTCAGAGAAAATAATTTTTGCCACAATAATTCCAAAATGCTGTTCGTGTGAATGTCGCCTGGACCATGCAAGTTTGTTTATTTTTAATCGTCCTGGCCCGAGGTATAACTATGGAAGCCCATTTCCCTCATAAACCATAAAGAAAGAGCGAAGTAAGTTTAAAAAAAAAAAAATGTATTTCATCATTTAGATTTTGTCAGACAAGTTTTTTTTTTGCCAAGTTTTGACTCAAATTATGACCTCATAAGTTTGGCTTACTGAGTCAAAATTGGGACATGGTACCAAAGTGAGTTTTTACTTAAGTTTTTAAAGTCAAATTGTATGTCATCATTTTGATTTGAAATTTTGTCTTATGTTTGGTAATTTTGTCTAACTATGCCATGCTAAAATTTGGATGTATGTCATTAATATTGACCAGCCAACTTAAAACATAGGCTAAGACCATATTTTGAGATTTGAGGTCGAAATTGATATTATCGTACAATTATGACCTCAAGTTTCACTTAAAGGTAACTTAGTATTTTCTTATTGCAACTTTAAAAAGGATTTCCTATCTCTGAAATTTGAACATTTTATTTATTTTTTTCTGGCAGGAATGGGCTTCCATATATAAAAGTTGAGTCTGAAAGTTTTTCCTATTGTCTGTAATATAAAACTTAGTGCATTCAGGTAGTGTGTAGATGAAGTAACACATTTTATAAAAGCACGCGGTGGAGCGTTTTTTGCTATGGCAGGGGTCACCATTTTAAACACACTGTCTGTTATTGGAATGCTTAGGCTTGGCATGCTTTTACCAAACCACAGATGAGTCAGCTTAAAGCAATAGAGTACATGGAATGACTTGTTGATAATGCCACTTTGTGTGAGTGTGTGTGAGTGAGAGAGAGTGAGAGAGAGAGCGAGGTATGCTTCAGACTGTGGGTGAGGATGTGATCATGCTCAGTAAAAACGATGCAATGTTGGATTGCTTGAAGGCCTGTATGTTGTTTTCTACAAGTGAGGCTCAGATGTGTGTGTATGCTCTGCTCGTGTCATCAAGTACCACATGTGATCTGAGAGTGAGAAGTGAGGGGTTCTGGGAAGGTGGGTGTACATTATTTAAACCACTGTTCTCTTTGTAGCGTGTGGCTGTTGTATTGTTCTCTGCTATTTGACAATGAATTACTCTGCACTTACTGTGTTGTGTCCTCCTTCACAACATTTGAGTGAATGGTAGCGAAGTGCCTTCATTAGGATGTAGACGGATGTCTCAAGATGGTCAAAATAACAGCCACTGTTGACTTCCCGGGGTTCGTTGCTTGGCATTTTAATAATTTAATAAGCCCACTGCTTTGAAATACGGAAGCCTATTGCTGCCACGCCTGAACTCAGTATCATGTTCTAGCATGAAAAGTTCAGTTACAATTTCAATATAACTTGAGTTTGTGTGTCACGGGGCCAAACGTAAAGTACAGACTCAGTAGACACGGACTCAGATGCGTATACCTCAACTCTTATTAGAAAGCAGTGGGCAGATTTTTACCACAGACTGGCCACTGGGGGGTAGCAAAGATTGTCATAAGGACTAAGGGAGAATAAACAAGTCAAAATATGAACATCATTCACTTGTCAGTCACATGAGAGAGTAACGCATATGGCTTTTAATTAGTCCTCTGGGAAAGATTTAAATGTAACAGGTTGTGTATGATGGAATGAAAAAACATTTCAGCACAAAAATATATATTTTTTTAAAACATCAAAAAGAAATTCTTAAAACTTCAGGGTATAAAATTAAAATTTAAGACATGCTACTTTACATAACTCCTACATCTACATATTTCCTATATGTAAGACTTTACATTGTAGCCATGGTGATTTCCCATGCATTTCTATATTCTATATACATAGTTTCTTCCCCCCTTTAAATTAACAAATATATTGTTTTTGTTAGTCAGCATAACCGGACACACAGATTGTTTCTATAAACAGAAACACAGACACTGTTTTGGCAAAGAAATGGCAAACCTTTAGATGCAGTGTGTCCTGTTTAGTCCGAACTTCATGCAGCTTCAGAACTGAAGTGGCTTCATATAAATAACACTTACTGATAAATGGAGGACAGTCACTGGTGGAGGATGGGGAGTTACTGCTAATAACAGGCTTGGAAAAGGATTAGGTATTACAAATACATGAAAGATTCAAACTTATTTTGTTAATATTCTTGTAATATTTGTGTATCAGAGCAGTGGGTGAGGCTGCTGGTTGGTTTCTTTTTCCTACTGAAGGTCAATATTTTAAAGGATAGTTTAAAGTAAGACCATGTGACTGTAGAAACACTACTTTCCATTTCCAAATGTTGAAATGCAAGAGTGCTGTCAGGCACTGTCAGTTTTCTAATTTGACCCATGATACTTTAGATACTTTAGGATGTTTGAAGTGTAAATAAATAAACCAACTACACCACGGTCACATGACTTCAACCTCACCACCACTAAACTTCCAACTTGTAATTAAACTGTCTGTCCAGCTGTCTGTTGCTCAAACAACAGATTGTACTTCCCCATCTGCTTTCACGGACAGTCGGATCAAGAGACAAAAGTTTGGACATTTGCAGGTAAATGATCAGGGAGCTCTACGTGCAGGCAGCATGAAGGGAAGTTAAACATTGTTCATTTGCATATACTACCACACTGTAATGATACAAAGCTGGTTGAAAATCAGCAAAGTTCCCCTTCAAAGAAAATTCTATGTTTTGTTATCCTGCAATTACCACTAATTACAGTGACATACTCTAGTAGTGTAGTTGCGGATTACAACCCCCTCGCCTCACCCTCCTGTTCCAAGAATGTAGGAGATGTGTAATGAAAACATAGATATGAATATTAAATTCCATTTCTGACAATAGATCCTTCTAAACGTTACACACTGGACCTTTTAACTTTACTTCAGTCCCTCCAGGAAGTTGCGATTGCAACAATTAACACAGTTCAACCGACCCTCATGAATTCTGCATGACTTTACAGTTAAGTCCAGTTGCCGCTACTTTTCTGCAAATTTAACCAATCATTGTAGTCGAGTTTCACCATGTAAAACCTTGCGATTTTATTCTCACTAGAGACGACTATTTGTGCAATTTTAACTACTTTTTCATTGCAAAAAAATTGCCTAATGTGCATTGCAGTTTTTTTCAGAAAATCTGCAGTGAAATCAATCAATCGGCATTTTAGGCCCCAACATTCGCAAAAAAGCCTGTGAAATCCTGGAGGGACTGACTTATGATTTGTAGTGAATTGGTCAGTGTGGTCCTTTAAGTGCTAAACTCAAGAATATGTGTTAAGGCTGTGAGTTGGAAATATCTTCCTGCATAGAGATCAGGGCACTGGTTTGGTTTGTGTGACAGCATTAATTACTGCAGTGCCCATGAGCCCATGTTGGAGCGTCATAATGTTTGATCACCACAGTCAAGAAAACCCTGGACCATAGTTTCTGAACTGTTTGGAACTGCTGAATCTACTGATCTGAAGTGAAGCTCCTGTAAAGAAAAGTTGCTCAGCGCTCTGAACTGCCTCTCTGCTGCTCCTGCGATGTGTGGATGGCGGCAGCAGAGGCTGACCGAGGCCGTGTCTTTGGACAATGTCTGTGAGCGGCAGGAGGAAGAACGCCCCCTAGCTGGCCAAGTCAGTCCTCGGTGGAGGGCAGGGAGGTCACAGGCACCCGGCGGAAAAAGAAGCTGGATCCTCTGAAGAGGTGGCCCTAACAGGAGGGGACACATACTGACTTTAAATGCTGTGGACAATGGACAACTTCAGTCCACAATATGAGCAGCACCCATATGGGATTTTTGAGACCAATACAGATTTACAGAGGGGGAAGATCCACTGATTACTTATATGGCAGCCAGCAGTGTTTTTTTTTTACCTGGAATTTAAAAAAAACAGACTTTTGCACTGATGTGGCAGAGCAAAGCTACTCGGAAAGCTGCTTTCTTATACAAATAACTTTATACAGTGTAATAAAGTATTTAAGTGAAATATTCTCTAACATGTTCAGTAATTTGACATATACATTCTCAACCACACTGCTAACAGCTGCTTCTTCTCTCTCACTCTGTACTGCTTGCCACAGTGTTGTAAATCACAGCGCACTCTGCTGGGCAAACTCTGCACTGACCCCAATATATTACCACAACTATTTTCTTCTGCACTGTATACATCAGGGAAAAAACACATACGCATACCGTATACCAATATGTCTGTGATAGGCCGATTATATCAGCTGACCAACATATCGGTCAGGCACAATCAGCCTTATACAGAAACTGGTCATACTAAAAGAAGTGATTGGAGTCAGGACAGGGGTTGTTCTGAACTCTATGTTTAACTCTGTAGATCTATCAGTATTCTCTTTTTGACATCCTCCCTCCAGAAATGAACGGAATGACTTTACTGTGATTTACTAGTGAACAACGCCTGTCTGTGTGTCCGTATGTGTGCAGGCGAAATGTGCAAAATTACAACTGGAAGGTTTGGTGTAGGTAAGTGCTACTGAAGTGGAGATTTCTGGCTCAGATTAGGGTTGGGTAATTGAAAGAATATATCGGCCATTCCATTGTTTTTTGGTCATTTTGCAAATTTGATGGTCTGCCTCCACAGAAAGAGAGCCGCTACTCAGCGACGCAGTACACACACTGAGCAGAAAAACGAGTGAATTCACTACAGATAGATAGATATCACCATGAGACCTCCCCAGTTGATTAATTATGGAGGCCAAATAGCCCAAAATCTATAAATTGGCCGGTGCATGAAAGTAACAATGCTTTTGCCTGTAGTGTTTCACATTAAGGACAAAACCAATTTGGAACATTGCAGGCAGAAACCTCCTTCTGTGTACTACTGCTTCTCTGGCTTCCACACACTGCAAACAGACAGCCACCAACGGGCTCACACATGTAAACAAAGGTTCAGGTAGTGTCACTGTGTTTGCTCAAGTGGAAGCCAGTCTGAGGTGAGAGGTGTGGAAGAGGAGGAGAGCGGTGGAGTTAAGTGTACCTTGTGGCTCAGGTGGTTCCAGCAGTGCACCCACGACCTAAAGATGGGAGAGTGGGGAGGAAGACCTGCAGCCAGCCTGACAACACAGAGCACAACCAGTCAGACTGAAGCACCAGGACTGGAGCCAGGAGTAAAGACACGCGAGAAGCCCTAAAGGAACATGTATCATTTGGAGCTGTCATATTTTATTTATTCATCCTTATTTCCTGCAAATTGTAATGTTTGCTTTTAGGTACGAGCTACCACGCTGAATGTACTGACTATATGTGAAATCAATCATGTATACAAACAGCTTCCAGTGAAAATGTTCCTGATTATTAATTAGTGAATGTACTCATGTTTTAAAGAATGACTCACCCACAGTTGTTGACAGCCATGAGATCAGCCACCAGCATGAATGGATATGTTAGAACACTGACTGCAATCTAGAGAAAAAACACACTCCGTTACTACGGAGTAAAGCTGCCTATGAGAAACATCTCCAATAACAGCTTGAATGTTGAACTTACGCCCATCACAAACTTAGTGTAGCTTCTGACTGCTGAGGCCTGACTGAACTGCAACACAAATACAAGCAGAGAGGTCAAAGTGTACTGCTCATGTAACAGGACATTTAATTAAATATAACCAATTTAGTTCAATTCAGCTAATGTAATCTTCCTATAGTTAATGGCTTGATAGCACCTGTAATACTTTATAATTCTCTGGTATAACTTTTAAAATGGATTAAGCTGAGATCACCTCGCTATCCAGAACAGCAACTTGACAAACTAATACCTCTTTACACCTTATTCCATTATCCTGTGAAACTTCTGAATCCATCATCAATTCTCAAATAAACAGGTGTAGTAACATGAGTGTCAAATAAAAAGGCTGCTCACTGATAAAGACCAGGTAAAAAACACTGAGGGGAAGAGGAACTAGCTGTACGATTAAAAACACCTCACATGATAAATTCAGTATAATGTCCATTACTCACCACTCTGTGTAACACTAACACTGTTTTCATTCACTGATCATTTACAGTTGTTTTTACTACCGTTTTAATAAAGATACCATCAATAAAACTCAACACTTCCTGTGTATGTTTCAAATTAAAAGCCTACCAGGAATAGAGAGAAGTATGCCCTTTGATCTGCTGGAAGGCTTTAACTGACCCTTCCTAAGTCCCACTCCTTTTTGCTGTGTGCTCCAATAACAGTTGAGTAAGCCTTGGTCAGAACCTCAGTCAACGCCCCCTTTCCTAGCTAACTAATGATTCACTAAATCCTACACACTGGTCCTTTAAGATATGACTATATATGTGTTGCTTTTATCTTTTTAACCATCTTTAATATGTGGTTTTCTTTTAAACACAGACGAGCCCAGCACATAGCATATCAACTGTTATTGGAGCACAGAGCAAGAAGGGGCGGGCTTTAGGATGGGTCAATTGAGAAATAACTCATATAAGTGTAATTCCAGGTGAAGACCAGGCGTAAACATAAAGTGCAAATTGGATTTACAGGTTCATTGTAGGCTAATATATTATTCTAAAACAACTATTAGAAAGAAAAATCTAGCAATTGGGCTGTTTATGAATGATCACAGTATCTGATCACAAGTCAATATCTTTCTTTCTTTCTTTTAAGGAAGAGATTTAAGTGCACGTTGGGCTGCATTTACCTCAGACTGTAACTGCAAACTCGAGAACAACTGCAGCGCAACTTTGCATGATTTTCCCTCAGAGCAGCGCAGTGGATTAGTGCTGCAGAAATCTACATTATACTGAATTCATCAAGACAACGCGTTAACATGGAGGAAGTGTTTACATCGACAGACAAAAACAAAACAGAACTTTCTGTGTTACAGTTTCCCAGCCTGACTACAGCTGAAAGCCATAGAGACTATTTTGTTTCAAATGTGAGCGGTTCAATCTTAGACTTTTTGCACTATTTATTTATATTTGTACATGCTTATTTATACAATCGTTTTATCTGTAAATAAATTATTGTGTTCATATAAAATGATATTGATTGTCATAGCTTGTTTTTTTCTTATACTACCATCCAAAAAGGTGATGGACTTACACTTTCATCTACAGCGTAGGTGTTAATAAAGTGAGCCAGGAGGTTACAACACCACAGGAAGAGAACCTCTCCCACCACATGGGGTACGAGACCACTGCAAACACACAAAACACTGCTCAGGCTGATGGAGGGCAAAGGTCAAGGTGAATGAGTCAGAAGAATTGTACTAATGAACAGTGAAAGTAGAAGTATGACTCACACATAGAATCCAGCAACTCCTTCCTCCTTAAAAATCTTCATAATACAACTGAACATCCCGCTGCAAAGGTGACACAAACTCCATTAACATGTGCAGAATGTCTACAGTCAAAATGTTTGGCTCTTATCCAAATTTTAACAGCCCTGAAAACTGATCTTTGAACAGTTTCTGAGTATGAGTATTATCTGCTGAACTTTAAACAATTATAGTTATTTCACATGACAGAGGTCTGTGTTTGTGTTGTGCTCTCTCACTGGTTTGAAGTAGGCGGAAATTTCTTCTTACTTATCAGCCAACATATATTCGGATATGCTATATCTGTGATATCTACACATCAGTCCTTTTACAAGTTTAACCATATATATATATATAAATAAGTTTTCAGTAAAAGTGGTGGAGTCCGCCATTTCCACATAAAAATGCTGCTTTTTTCATGACTTTAACCAGAGGCCTGTAATACAAAGCAAGTTCAACATACCCACGATATCTTTTAGTTATCTGGCTTCACTAACCTGAACCCAAACATCTGCGATGTCAACTCTATCCTATCAACTCAGTAAGTCAACCTACAGTTTCCCAATAAGCGTGTTCACGTAAACAGGGCAGTGTTTGTAGCACATGACCAATCACAAAGATGGAAAAGTCGCAGCACAGCAGTATATTTCACAAATGAAGAGCAAACTATAATATTACACAAATACAAAGAAGTTAAACACTTAACCCAAGCTCAAAGCAGCACAGTTCCTGCTGCCAAATGCATGCATAACCTGGAACCTCTGGAGCAGTTCAGCATAAACCTCGCTGTTACTATGGTGATATACCATTATCATAGCACTGAAAACCTGAAGTTCCCTTGCTAACCCCAAACCCTCTTGCTTAGTATTACAGGCCCCTGGATTGTTGCTTACTTAGTTACAAGTATTCCTTTGTCATGTCTTCAAAGGCTTTAAAAGGAAATATTGTGGCATATCTGCAGAATTATACAAAGTCTTACCCGTACTTGACCTCTCTGCCAACAAACTGGGCCATACACCGCACTGACATAACTGCCAATGGAAAAAAAAACAGGTAATCAACCAGTGTACCTTTTGGCTCTTACGGCATTACAGTCCACTTAATACCAGCTTTAAAGGGACTGACAGCATAGCACATATTGTAGGTAGCACAATAATCGTTCAATGATAAAAACCTGTTACTGTTTCAGTTTCTCTAATGTTTTATGTCACTGTTGAACTGAATATCTTTGGGTTTTAGTTGGTCGGACAAAACAAGACATTTGAAGACATCACCTTGGAAAATTTGTGATGGGTATTTTTCACAGTACTTTAACATTTTATACACTAAAGGATCAACTGAAAAAACAACTTCACAACCAATCACAACATGAAAACTAACATGAAATTAATTAGCTGTATCCATAGTTTGGGTTGTGAACTTGCTTTTGTAGATGAGGTGGAAGCTTCCAGAATATAGCCACATAATCAAAGACACTTTTATTGGTGAAATACACTTCGACAACCTTAAAAAGGGGCAATATGTAAGAACTGGCCAACTGTTGAATTCATACCACGAACAAATAGGGGGCAGCATATCGGCAGAGTAACTGCTAACTGTAGCTGCTGTTAGCTAGTTAGCTCAGTTAGCCTCACAACCGTGCAGCTACCATCCTATTACTGTGCTCGGACTGGGACTGACTACAGGGACAATGAAGGCATCGCAGGTTCAGGCAGGGATAAAGCCTGAGCATGGGGTAACTGCGGTGTCAGCCCAGGGGTGGCAGAAAATAAAACCAGCAAGAAAACTGAGGGCAGACTGGACACTAGAGTGACTCACTGTGGCCTCTTGAGGTATAAAGAGGTTATTACGAGGCAGGACGGGACGGGGCTCTCTGGTTAGCTTGCTGACTTCTTTGCCATAAAATCAAAACTGTTAACTGTTGAATATTTTGAACAAAAATTCTTACATATTGCACCTTTAATGAGGACATACCATGAAAAGGATGAGTGGCTACTCTGGACAGACACTGGATGACCATCTCATGTGAGGTCTGGAGAGAGGAAACAATTCAAAGAGACAACCTGGTATTAAGTATAAAGATTTGTTCCAAAGCAAAGCAATGAAAAGGGATTGTACAGTATGTGTCCTGAGTACAGCAGGGTATCTTTTTTAATTTTCTACCTCATACCTGTGTTTCAGTACTGATACTGAAACAATGCTTTACTTGGTAGCTTACTTTGAGGAATATAAACATATTTTTTCCATTCAACAACAAAAGCTGTACAGGCATTTTGCTTTAAATAAATCTAATATAAGCAAAACGCAAATCCATATTTAAACAGAAACTGCCCAACAGAAAGTATGCATTAAGTATAAGGAGACATTTCAATTATATTGTCCAGTTAGACTCAAAATGAAAGAAGTCACCAATGTTGTTATTCAGGAGCACCTCTCACCTCTTGGACCACTTTCCTGAGTGAAGTCTGCTTGTCATCTCTCTTGGATAGAAGCTCCACCTGCTGAATAAACAACTAAAATTAGTTGAACTGAAGCCACCTGATATATCCAGTCTTGCGCCAATGCTCTGCCCTCCTGTTAGTTCAGGAAACAAACAAACAGCAAGTCTCTGTCTCTCATCCATCGTAGTTGTAGGAAAAAGTTCAAGAAAAATCAACTCCGACAGCAGACGGACAGACAGACGTGTGCATGAGACGACTCAGACGACTGCGTCAGTTTCTCTGGATACCTGTCAGACTGTCTGTGCCTCCCTACCTGCCCGCTCACCTCTCACTGAAGATGAATTACAAGGCATGTCAACCTTTACTTCTCTGACTTCTTCATAGTTCAAGTCTGTAACAGATGAGTAACTGATATTTTGACATAATGGATACAGTTAAGGATTAAAGCTAAGCAATAATTTAATTTTCCGCCAGTCAAAGCGATCAATGACTGCTAAATACAAAATGTTTCAAAAACATATCGGCATCAGTCTTCATATAAATAGCAAATCACTTTGCTATTTATTTTTACTCTCAGCCCTTGCTTACCTGTTTAACCTTGCTCCTGACCACAGTGGAGATGGCACTGGACATGATACGAGGTGAGAGGCCACGGAAGAGTCCTCTCTTTCCATCAACTTTCACAATGTGCCGTGCTGAAAACAAATTCACTTCCTGTTAACTGCTCTTTAAGTATGTCCAGTAAAACAGTGAGACAGTGATTATTCACAACTCACTCACTCACCATAGGAGAAGAAGCCAGGCAGGTATAAGACTCTTCGTCCAAACATAGTTGTGCCCACAGTTGGAGGAAGAGGTTCGTGACCCACCTGGAAACAACAGTGACTGAGGTTAGACCTCTCGGCTTTATGGGAATGATTGGGTTATATTTGTATTGGCAAGAATATGGCAATACAATGAAACAGGGGTTACGATTCAGTATATTGTGATACTGTAAGCAAGGCCATATATTGCATCAGGACGTTGTTAGGCTTCACAGATGCTGTATTCTTTCAATATATACTATATCTATCACAGGACAATCCCTTTACACACACACACTTATATATGTATATATATGATGTAGTCAGACCTAGGCATACCTCAAATTGGCAAGTCAAGTACATTTTTATTTATTTTCATAAATGTTTTTATGCACTTGACAGGCAAAAGTAAATACAATGGGAAATAATGACTTTTTTTCTTTTCCAAAAGCAGCAACAACCACTAATCTAAATTTTTATTTATAAACCCCAAAATCACAATTTGAAAAAGAGGATTTACTTTATTAATCCCCAATGGCGAAATTATTATTTTTTTTTATTCAGTATTTTACACACAAACACATCAGCTATAACCACTCAACATGTCTCTCATATCTCAGCCTGGGTTCCTCTGTTTTGGAATGGACTAATAGTCGAAATGGTTTAATGGATTTTTAAAGTATTGCTGATGAAGTCTTTTATCAGCAATGGGCGAGTCCTGTAACCATCAAAGCTCTTCCACAATGGTTTGATGTTAAAGGAAATGGATTTCCCTGCAGTCACCTGACCTCAGCCCTCTGACAACATCTGAGGACATTTAAACAGGGACAAATAGAAATAAAAATACCTGTTATAATGCACTCACTTAAAATATCTCTGAACTTGTGCTGGGATGTGATTCTCAGTTCCTGCAGCTTACCCAACACTAGAAAGTGACAGCCACAACTGAGAACATGTTTGACACATTTGTGAACAATTATATTAATGTTTCTAAACCCCACTGCACCGGACGAGGAGCGGTTCTTTGCCGTACTGCACCTCCGGTTACCGGAAGAACACCGTGACTGCAGTGGGACTCTTGTGACTGGGTAAGGACGGTGGGTGGACGTTAACGACCAGCCGTTGCCGTTGGTCGCTACGATAAAGGAGCATCGTTGCATGGAAACAGCGCAGCAGCGGCGGTTTGATACCGTCGTTATGGTTGCTGTTAGCTAACCGACACCAGCTAACGTTACCTGTATTAGCAGCTTCACGTAGAGCAGCGGGTGTGCGACGGCGGTCACTCCCGCTCCCAGCAGCAACATTGCGGCGTCCACATCCACGGGGGTCGGTGTCACATCCTGCTCAACCCCGACTACCTGAGCGGACAGGTTTTCTTGTGGTTCCATCTTTAGTTACCGTGAAAGAGGGAGACGGTTCATCCCCGGTCAGCGTCAAGCCGTAACTACTACAGAAACACCTTCCGCTTTGGACTTTCAAAATAATATTCTCGGCTTCAGAGGTGATTCAGGTGTCTGTCTCGAATAAGATGTGTTAACTGTAACAAGTCGTTTATAAGACAGAGTACAAGGTGTTTCATGTGATTCAGAACTTATTCTGGTCACGTGACCGCGGAACAACCACAACACATGGGCGGAGTCTAACGGTCGCTCGTGCCCGAGCAGAGCCTTGTAACGTTAGTAACGACCACCACTTAAACACACGTGTGCTCCTCTCTTTCTCTCACTTAACCAGACTTGTGGTCAAGATGGGCTGATAACGTTAGAACATTCTGGAAAACTTGGCTGGGTGTGTATGACTATGTGTGTCTATGTATGCTGCTAATTATGTTATATGTTTTTATTTTGTTTTTAGGGTAACACTAGTACTTAAATTAATTATAATTTTTTTTTAATTTATGCTAAATTAAGCACTGACCAGAGAGCACTTTAAATTTCGTTGTACCTGTGACAATGACAATAAATATCTATTCTAAAATACACAGTATGTCACGAAGTATGTATCTTAGCTTCAGACATTCCCAATTCAAGCAATTCCAACACTGTTTATGGACCCCAGTTTGCAGAAATGTTCAAATACACTTGGCACAAAATAACACATGTATGCCCCCAAACTGCATGGTATTAGCATAGAGTGGAAATGTCTGCAAAGAAGGCACTTGTAGGTACCCATAGAACTCATTTGCATTCAGATATCCTGAGGTCAAAGGATGTCACCAACATTTTGGAGCGTTATTTATTTCCCTTCCCAGCATGCTAGCATGACATGGTTGGCAACAATGGATTTGGTTTCCAGCTTTCAAACGGAGCCCGTTATATATTTCTTCTGAAAGAGGATTAAGGGGTGGCACTTGAGGTGTCCAATCAGTTTTCAGCCCCCCTCTGGAGACACCCCTGTGTGTCACAGAGTAGACAGATGATATCAGAGATACATTCACAAAACAGAAATGTAAAAATAGTTATCAGATAGCATAACAAAGACAGATACAAACACAATTTTGTCACAACTTTATTTTTTATGCCAAGACTATATTTTACAAAATAGCTATATAACTTATTTTCTTTTAATCGATATTAGTTTTTTCCATTTCATATATAAAGCAAAGGAAAATTATTTATTCTGTATGATTCACATGATGCTACATAATACATAATAATATATATTTTTAATTTGAACAAAAAATCAAAATACTCAGTTAAAAACCAGCTCAAAATTAAGCCAAATCCAAGTTTTACACAAACTTCCTGCAGTTATTGTGTTCACAGTTTGGGTTCATTGTGTAGTTTATCTGTTGTTCTCTGCTGTTATTGTAATGCATTGATATATAATATGAAATATTCATAAGATATTTGACTTAGTCAGTTTACTCAGAGATAGAAAAAGGAAAAAGGATAGGAGCCACTGCACTAAGGCACCCCTGTCTACATCGGGCTAGATACAAGATATCTTTAAGATACAGGGAACAGGAACTGCAAGAAAATGAACTCTTGCTAATTTTCTTTGAAAGTCTGTTGACATTTCAACAGATGAATTTGAACAAAGGAGTGCTTTAAATCCAGCAGGTGGTGCTATTAGTCTTACAATGGTCCAGCTGTACTGTAACACAGGGCTCAGTGTGAATGGCTTCAAATTTAACCAAAATTTAATGTACATCATTCGGAATTTTTAATTCTTTTGGTTTGTTTGTTTGTTTGTTTTTAAAAATATATTTTAGGCTTACATTGCCTTCATATTGCTGCAGGAAGGTCTCAGCCTTGGTACTTAGCTCCATGAAATAAGCTGTAAAGCCCACGGCAAATTCTTCAGGGTCTATGTAGGTGCTGTTCAGTTTAGTAAACAGGGTGTCACCTCCACCTAGTCAGGCCCTTCCTATAAAGGTGTGGATGCAGCAAGAGTATCCATGTCTCAGTCTTCATTAAGTGAATTTTAATATGTGTATCTGGGGATCACAGCACAGAAAGTTGGGCACCAATGCTGCCATCAGGTGGAGGAATAGTCAGATTCTGTACTTCAGTAAAGATACAACACTGTATAAATACTCTAAAAGTCGTGCTGTTACTTAAACATATCATAAGGAGGTTTTAACTGGTTGTAGCGGCCCCTTGGATTTATTGATCAAGACGCAGAGAGTTTCAAACGGGTGTTGGTTTATTTCTTCCTCTCAACGAGCACCATGCACTATAAGCACCATGAACACCGTGAAGTTCAGGGGTGAAGAAGGCCTTCCAAATTCAAGTTCTTTCCGTCTCGACCATCTGGCTGACAGGAGCTCCTCCGTGTTGGGTGGAGATTGAAAGTCAATCGCTCTGTCACAAGTCAAGCCCCAGTCTCTTACCATAAAGCCAATCACCAAGCTGGATTGTGTCCCATTTTTCCCGCTACAGACATGCATCAGGGGTCGAAGCGACCTTTAAATTGGAGTTCGGGCCAATGGAGTTCTGGGTAATTGTGGGGAGCAAGTTGGTTGCTAAGCTGTTACACACTTGTGTGTTTTGCAGGAACTGCGACGGGGACACAGAGGCAGAAATGGCCGACTTCCAGAACGCGTCGAAGCTCGCACCTTTCAATCAGCGGCCATGGACTGTTTCGGCCCTTTCTTGTAAAGAAAACCGCAAGAATACAAAGACGGCGTTGGTCTTCAATGTTCTGTGCTTTCTAGAGCTGTCATATGAAATGCTCGAAGATTTGTCACAGATCATTTATCAACCTCATGGGATCGGGGCTTCCTCAGCCTGAGAGGAGCTGTTCAACTACATTGTGACCAAGGCTCAATTTTGGTTGGGCGCCGAAATGTGAGCTCAGGAGCACTAACCACTTTAAAAACACTTAGAATTATTTTATCGGTTCATCTGTTGAATCTGTAAGGAAGAGTTTGCATTGTGATTTCTTTTATTATTTTTGTATTGTTCGTCCTGTTTATTTGGTAAGAGCTCCGAGCTGTGAGAGGGTGTGAGCTAGAGGGCATGCTAGCTGATGGAAAGAAACTCTTTGATTAGCGCCTTGGAGAGCGGAATGAGGTATTGAAAAAATGTGCAGTGTGTATTATATAGATGAGTTTTGTTTAAGGAAAAGGAGAATGTCATTTTTCATTTGTTTATGAGTTACTTGCACGTCCATTTTTCTTTCTGGGTTGAACTCTCCATGTCTTGTATTTATTAAAGAGCTGAATCATTGTTCAATGATGATTTTTTCTCGTTTATTGTAGTGTTTGTTTAAAACTACTGTTGAACTTTTATGTGTGAATCTAATTTATTTGTGAACTACAGGAAGCATTTTGATTTTCTTTTCACGCGTGTTCATGGTTTGTTATAGTGCATGTGTGATCGTTGGGAGGAGGAAAGAAATAACACACCGTTTGAAACTCTCTGCGTCTTGGATCAATAAATCCAAGCCGCTACACAGTTAACCTCCTTATTAGCAGTTGGTTGCTAAGCTTGGATACAACACTTGTGTGTTTTGCGAAAACTGCGGACGAACCCGTAGAGAGGCAGCAATGGCCGAACTTCCCAACGACAGCGGTCGAGTTCAGACCTTCACTACGCGGCATGGCTGTTTGCCCTTCCATTGTAAAGAAAACCCCCGCAAGATCAAAAGCTAGCGGCTGATCTTCACATGGTCTGTACTCTGAGCTGTTCCATATCGAAATGCTTCGAAGAGTTTGTCAACGACTCATTTTCAACTCTTGAGATTGTTGCTTCAGCCTGGAAGGGAGCTGGTTCAAAATACTTTGTGACCAGGCTCTATTTTGTTTGGGCCGAAGATGAGCTCAGGGCCTTTACAATGTTGACCTAAGCTTCTGGGATCTCCTGGACTGGCATGCAGTTCGGTTTTGTCTCAATGCCCCCTCTTGGACGTCACGCAGGCGGCGTCTGGGATCGCAGTATCAACCGTTAGAATGTTGCTGAACGCACCTTGGACAGTTTGCCCAGTCGGGCTTGATGGATGCCTCCTTTCAGGACTTGCTTATGAGGCCATGGCTATTTGTCAACAGGCCGCATTACATGTGGGATGGAATCAATGATTCCTCGGCACTGGGAGCCTTACACCGATTCACCTCTCATGATGAATTCTAAGTTGTTTCCTGCCTGGGTATTGTCAAGGGGGGACTGTATGCGACAAGGATGGAGAAGAGTTCAGTCTTCTTATCGAACAGTTTTGGGCCGCTGTGGAAAGGGTATCTTGCTTGAACATATCATGAGACAGAAATGGCACTTACTCAGCGCAACCTCAAAGTGAATGACATTGTCATGATTATTAAAGACGAAAACCTTTCCAAGAAATCAGGTGGGCAACTTGGACAGTGTGATTGAGACTGTTGCAACTAGTGTAGCGACGGGCTTGTTTTCGTCGAGTTATAAGCTTGCAAGCTTGGGGAGAGGGAATATTTCTTAAAAACAAGATCCTCGCCTCCAAGGCCTTCAGCTTATTGGATGAGACCAATCAAAAAAACTGGGTTGCTGCTCCTTGGGGAAAAGTCTGCTTTTTAGAACAAAGTTCGCATGGTTCTAAATTGCATACTCACACTGCTCCTTATTATTGCATGATGTATTAGTTGCACCTCTGAGTACTCTATAGCTTGAGGCTACTGCACTTTTTTCAAGATGTCAAGACATTCCTGTACAATTTAAATTATATACCTTTGTGTATTTGTTCATTCAATTGATACTAGGATTTTTTGGTGGGAGTGTAAAGTGTCTGATAAAAAATCTGCCATTAAAATATTCTCGCTACTACGCACGGGTATTATGTTTTATAGCGATGTGTTAACAAGACATTTGTGGTTCTACAGGTGCACTTGTTGCGGTCGTGGTGCTGGCTTTTATTCAGTCTGAAGAGCCAGCCGTCTTTTTTCTGTCTGGATGTTTTTTTGTGACGCTAAAGTTCTGCTGCTTACTCTCTTCCACGAAGTGTTGGTCTCGACTGCATTGGTTGGAGAATGGTAAAAACGTTTACAGAAACCATTTAGATATTGTATTCTGTTGTTCGATTCTGTTTGAATCCGTGCTTAAGGGAACATGAGTTGTGCAGTTTGTGATTTCTCTGTATACTTATTTTTTGTATTGTTCGTACCTCGTTATCTTGCTAAGGAGCTCCGAGCTGTTGAGGGAGCGGTGTCGAGCTGCAGGAGTAGCATGGGCTAGGTTGCTGACGTGTGAGAAAGCGTCTCTTGATG